CAGACTTTTTTTTAGGGGGTACCCCAAAAAGGGATCATCCCCCCCCCCCCCCCCAAAAAAAAAAAAAACATATAGTACACTCTAACTTACGTCTAATATTTAAGTCGTGCCATCAATTTAAGTTAATGACTCAACGTGGTACGAATAACGTCATTTGGTCTTGACCGCAAAGGACACAAAATAATTAAATTAAAATAATTTGTTGACATTTATTCTGCCGCCCCCTTGTGGCGCCGGTCTACCAGGGTAGAACGCCCAGCTTTAGGAGCAATTCATACTCAAGCTTATATAATTATAAGTCAAGATGTCAACACTTACAGCGTGTTTTAACACTCACTTAGGTCTCCATCGGAGTTTGAAAAATAATTCCTATGTCGAGAGAGTCGGCGCAGAAGGTATCACTTATTTAAAGGCACGTGAAGAGCGTGAAATATAACATTTTAATTTCCTGGAAATGTCAACTTTATCCTTTAGTCAGTAAGGAAAATCATATCCAAAACCGTTGACAGAACTACGATAAAAAAAAAAAAAAAACGTGTTTGAATTATTAGTTTCAATTTTTAGATAGAGACTGGTAAATTTCACCCTTGGCGGTAAAACGAAAAATTTAGAAGTACATGTAGATTTAGTTTTTAAATAGATATAAATTTTATCAACAATTTGGGATAGGATATAGGGACTACCCTTGTGATGAAGGGATTTTTTTTCTTTGCTTTGCTTTTTAAAGGTCTAGCGCGCATTGTATGCCTTAAAAAGATTTGTCAAATTTTAAACACTTCTTTCGGTATTCATCAGTGCACGACTCCATGCAGTAAACACACTTGTTTAGGTGCCTGTTGTGGGTCATGGAAATGTCTCTAAGATGTTTCTAGGTTCACGATCATACCTAATCTTGGAGCATTTTGAAAACGGTTGTCAGCGTTCATTAATGTCGTCGTCTGATCGTCTGCTGCAGAACGTAACCATCTTGTCGACATTGACTTCTGCGTTTGGTGCAGGTGAGACAGTGGCAACGCGAGAGCCAAACAATTCACCTTTTCGTACTTAATCTTTACAAATTTGTCATTAACAGGCATTAGAAATCTGCAAAAAAGTTTATCTCAGAAAAAATACACTGGTTATAGCCGTTTACCATAAGGCAGCCCTTTTTTTCTTCTTTCACGATCAAGGGTATGCGAGTGTTCTAAGCAGAGCAGCATAAAATAACTTAAACCGCACTTTTTGCCGTTAACTTTGGAATCTAAGTGTATCTAGGCTTAACATATTCGGTTATATGTTTACTTTAGATCTTTTTTTGGTTCCTAGTGTCTTTTATCTTATCAAACAGCTAGCCCATAAAGACGCCGCTAATAAAACGGTCAGCAAGATGCGTGAGAAAGTATCCCAAAGTATTATTATCTGTGGGGAAAAAGCTTTGT